TGCACACAGGCCATTACCATAGCTTTTCACAAAGTGCTATATTGTGTCTCTTCAGAACAAATCAATTCCACAGCCCCAGGGTCAGGCAGAGCCAGGAGCCTCACATGCTGATTCAGTGCAGTGTTAGCATTACTGCACTTGCTAACAGAGCCCCGCTGAACACTAGAAGCCAAAAGAACGAACTTGCACCACCCCATCTGTCTGCAAGGGCTACAAGTCCTTCCACTCCCTCTCCAGATCCAGGCGTAGTACTGCCCATACTGGCCTACAGTATCACATTTGATTGAGTCTGTTCATTACTATGAGATTTTGTCCCCTAAAAAAAGTTTACATTCTCAAAGATACACACATGTGGGACTTGTGTTAGACTATATGGAGCCCTGTTGAGGGCTTGCCACCTTTTGGTTCATTTTCCTGATAGAAAACATGACAAATCTAGACACAAGACTTAAAAGCTTTTGCAAAGCAAACAGAAATAATGAGTTATCCAAAGAAAATAAGATACCTGGGGACAATTATTACAATTAAGCTCCATTTCTAACTCTGTTCCACAAAGACAAAATTTTCAGCCAGTTCCTTAGGCTTTCCAGGACTGTCCTGCACATTTTATTTGTACTCTTTTCACAAATCAAAAGCAAAGAAACCTGGTGACCAAGGAAGAGGATGACCACTAGTGGAAGTCCATCCATGTCAAAAAACACATCAGCATTACTGAAAGCGTGCTACCGCTACCACTGGTTTTCTTGCTTCTCATAGTCATACCCATTCCCAAACTCCAGGCACATGTGTGCCACAGGCTATATCCTACATCACAACACTCGTGCCAGCAGTGCTTCTGCCCTGGCAACGCAGCTGAGAAAGGCAGACTCATCCAGGAAGGGTGATCTAACCAGCAGCTTTAGAGGCTCAGTGGCTCTTTCATTCAGCGGGGCTTCAGAACAGCTGCTCCTCTGCAAGGAGAAACCAAGATTCATTTTCTTCTCGTGAACAGCAAGACATTCCCTCAGACTTCTAATTTAGTGCAAATTCACAGACAAGTAGGAGCAGCAATTCTGCACCACAAACGATAAAGAGTTTAGTTTGTTTTAACTGTATGATAGGCATCAGATGAATAAGTTCAGCTTCTGAGTGAAATTTTTTAAATGAAAATAAATTATCATGCCTTTTCATCTAGTAAGTGCAAAATTACTCAAGTACTTTATTTATCCACCTGGAGTGTTTTCTAGTTCCATAACAAATTCCTTCTGGCAAGCAAGCATTCATGATTAGCCATAGTTTTAAGTAGCTTTTTATTTTGTCCAGAGATTTAAAATTTAATATAAAGTTTATTGTTTTGTATTTTGAGGAATATTAAACTATGCTCAGATTCAAAAGTGCCCTTCATTTATTTAGATTACTTTATTGTGTTATCAATGTAAAAAAACTTAGTAATCACAAAAAGCTCAAAGAAATACGAATTTTGAAAGAGCTTTTAGTTTTAGGGTAGGAACTGTGTCTCACGGTAGCCTCTTGTCTACAAAGTGCTTGTAAGGGGCTATCAGTATATTTCTTTCTCAAAAGGACCAGTCCAACACTTGAAACCTTAAACACGGGCTGTGATACAATGGTCACCAAATCAATTCATGTTCCCTGTGACAGAAATAGCAAACAGGCAGTGATGCTGAACTGATGCCTGCCTGCCATATCTGTCAGTGAACACTGTATGTTTGCACAGGTTTGTTTGTTTTCCAAGGGCTAGCAATGAGTAGGAGGATCAGGATCAATCTTATAATAAAATACCCTATGGATTTCTTTCAGCCACCCTCCAGGTATATCAGTTTTTAGACTCATAACCTTGACAACATCCTTTTGGAGATTCATACGCCACTCTTGTCTTCTCATACACAGCTACTGCAGCACAAATGGATCGGGTACTGCGGGCTGATCCACAGGTGCACGTGCTCGGGTGAGGCACACGTCACCATAGTATCAGGGTCCCCAGCAAAATGAACAAGAAAAAGCAGAGCTCCTGTTTCTTTCCAGAAGGCAGAATAAATGGAATATAAGTATGTGCACACCCAGGAACTACACAGGAGAATTCATAATCCTGTGCGCAGCAAAAAAGTGAGCTTTATGTGTTGTTTTAAACACTGTGAGTGCTTACCTCTTTTAGCTCTTGGACTTTCTGCCCAGACTGATGAAACTTTAACAATCAGCCAAGATAAAGGGAGCAGACATGCCTTCAAACCAGTCTTCTCAAGAGAAAGAAGGATGGACTTGGCACCCATGCACCTGACGCTGAAAAGCTGTAATCTGAAATCCCAGCTTGTAACCCTGGCTGTTGCTTAACTGGACCTCAGAGCCTGGTTCCCCATGCCCTGCCTCAGCCTCTGTTTTTCTTGCTGCTGACTGGGATTTCTCATTTGTGCCGTATCCCTGAAATAAACGCAACAAGCCTAGAGATGGCCTGTCAGAGTCAGCTGTTTATATCCCTGCTGAAGTCTGTCTGGAGAGCAGGATGCTCATTAAACAATATTTCACACATTGATGATCTTTCCTGTTTTTTTTTTTCCTTTCTTTTACAATAGCCTTCAGAAAAAGAGATGCATTTAAGAGTTGGTGCAACTGATGCATAATATGACTAAGTCAATAGGAAAGTAAAGATTTTTTAAAATGTAGATTATCGATCTTTGAAATTGTAAGGGCTCCTTCAAACTCATTAGGGTTTGTCGTGTCAATATGTTAATAAGGACTTCTGTAAATGAAGGTTAATGATGCTAGGGATAATTATCGCTGAAGAAACTCGCATATTTCTCAGTATTTGGAAACTCCATGCAAAGGTGAACATGTCAGGTTTTCCTTGATTACACCTTAGCTCCATTTCTGCTGTTAGAGTAGGGGGAAGATTTTCTTTGACACAGTGGGAAGTTAAACTCCCAGTTTCTTTGGAAATCAATGGTAGCTGAGCTGAGTAAGTCTGATTTGTGCTTTTTAAAATAAACCCCCATATACAGTGAGTGCAGCTGATTTGCAGATCTACTACATCCACAAGCCAAAATCCTTCTGAATATTTTTTCTTTCCAAAAGAATCTGAAATGTACAATAGTTGCTTTTCTAAATTAAACACTCAAGTCATGCTTCTTATTACTGTTCCCCACAAGACCATATATTTTGCTAAAGGGATGAAATGTTACAACTTGAAGAAAAAGAACCAAAGCTTTTTGTTAACTTGCAGGAATGTAAGGAAGTCCCTACAGCTAATAACCTGATTTTGCAGGGGGCGCATGTGCACATTTTTTTAATCTAAAAACATAAAAGTCAATATTTCTCAAGTTATTTCTGCTCTAAGGCTAGGGCTCAAATGCCAAGTACTGTCCAGATCATTAATGGTATAGCTCTGCTGGGGTTTCCCTTGCATGAATATATCTGGAAAGCTAAAATTGGTGGGGGATCATTTGATTCTCAATTATGAAGCACCAATTCCCCAAATAGTCCTTAGGATTATAATTTGTTTCCATGAAATACTTGGTGATAGGTTTTACTCATCATTTTTTCAAAAACAGTAGCAAGCATACTTTGGCAAAGTTTGAATTGGATTGAGGCAAACACAGCTTGACCAGCTTTTGTGGATGGAATCAAAATGATCTGGAGATGGGCTTTTTGATTTTTAAAGAAAGATAATCAAAGACAAAAGAATTCTGAATCCAGGCTAGGATATCTTGGCTCTTCTCCAATAGATTATTAAACTGGCAAGCCACAGCACAAATCCGTATTCTGGTTTGGAGGGGGAACAAAGGCTGACCAAAGGGTGTCAGCATGGTTCCTGTCTGGCATGATGCCCATCTTTGGTGGCCTGTAGGACCACAACAGAATCTGTTTTGTCTGCAGCCAAACTGCAACTCACAAAAGACTTTGCCGAAAGTGCCTCTGCATCCTGAAGTACTTAATCAGTGAGGTATTTTGAAGAAAGATATCTTCACACAGCAGAAAAATATCTAGCAGCTAGATATATAAAGTACCTGCTTATGAATCCTGTCATCAGAGGGAACGTTATAAAAAATACATGAACATAGAGAGATGCACTGACTGGTGTTATTGGAATCCTTCCCCAGTGGATCCCACTCCTTAGCTCTCGGTAATGTACATGGCCCTCCCTTACTTTACCCAAGTTGTTAGAGTTTATTCTGATCTTGAATAAGCGGATAAACAGCCAACAGACACTATATGAAGATGAGAAGTGGATTTCAAAATCATATTATACTGCAGATCACATCTGAAGTTATATTAGCCTATAAGAAAATATTAGTACATGAATCCGGAGAGCTTGTTCCTTGCATTAGGGGTTTACAGAAACACACACAAAAAAAGAGACCTTTTTACAAGCTTCAATAAACCATCACAGGTTCTGCTGGTGTGTATACATTTTAAGGGCTGGAATGACCAAGAGGAAACAAATCTTACAAGTCACAAGCTACTGAAGTTCCTGGTCCTGTGTTAGGAACGAAGCATAGAAGACAGACAACACTGCAAAGCAATGGTCTCTTTTTGGTGATGAAACAGTCACATTCAGCACACGTTATCCATTAAGTTAGCCTTGACAGATAACTGCACACAGTAGCAGCATACATGTTACTAAAAATTGTTTCTTTCTAAGGTTCATTCCAGGAATTCATTTGTAGCACACATATGTGCTATCTGATATATCTATTTTTATGAGACAAGCTGTATTCATTATTTGATTTTTTTACCATCTTTTTTTACCATCTTTTCAACTGTACCATCATTACAAAATGACCTAAAATCAGAGAATGCTGAAAATGGGACTGAAATACTTAAATTCTCAAGAAATCAATAAAAGTCTATCCATTGAAAACTCTCCTCTTTTGGTACTGATTAGTGGCCCAATACCAGGAGACACAAATATGCATAAGGAAAAAAGGTCTCATAGACTGGACACTTCTGAATTTGTTGACAGAGGCCACAGATACAACAGTACAATAGAACAGAACAGAATTTCTTACCTTTATGATGATTTGCCCCAGATGCTAATTTCCCCCACAGCGTTACAACAAATATTATTATTAGCAGTTTTCCTTTTATTGCTTTCTGTAAGTATCTCTTATTCATCCTGAAAACAAAAAAACACAAAAATTAGTATTTATCTTAAGACTTATCTAAAAAATATTTTTTGTCTTAATTTAAGGAGAATTCAAGAAGTTTTTATAAGTGTCTGGCTGACAACCCTTAAGTCTTAAATTCTGCTTAGCTTTAAATAAGGTACATCATATAAAGCATCAATATAACCTCCCTCCCTGGTCTGCCAGTGTTCCTCCACCCTGGTCAGTACCAGGAGAATTCAACACCTCCGCTCATCACATTTCTCTCAAGGCACAAGCAGTGGTCATAACCACAGCAGACTCCAAAGCTGGCAAGAAGGATGAATCCATGCAGCTATGTGGCAGGTTTTGATGAACAGAGCAGTTCCACTAGTGTGTTTGGGGCCAGTCATGGTCAATGTGGTTCTCTCTGACCGTGCAGTGGAGTTTTTAGCTTTCGGGATTGCAACTCTTTTTGGATTGTGACCATGAGTCATAAGGCGATAACAAATTTGAATAGACCTCCAGCACACGTACCAACCCTCCCACAGAGAAATCCTGTTATGAAGACATGAGTGGTTTGGAAACATGGACTCTAGCAGGGTGGATTCACCAGTCTCTCTCCTGTCTATCTTTGGGTAATGAAAAGATTTGATTTACTGCACCAAGGGAAATTGCACACAGCTACCCTCATCTTGCTCAGCGATGTTTTCACTGTGACAGCAAGCCACCGTGGTGGTTCAAGCACAAGGTAACACATGACTTATTTCTCAGTAACCTCCTCCAAAGACAAAATACCCCTCCACCTGCCAAAAAGAAAAGTTCAGGAACGTAGGCTCTACTGCTTAAGGATTACAGTTGTGCAGATAGTGGCAAGAGGTATAATAATGAAACCTTCTCTCACTTTTCATTCTCTGTAGAAAAGCCCTAGGGAGCTGGCTAAGAAACAGCTCTGCATGATGGTCATGTTTCTGCTGATAGGTCAATAGGACGATGATGCCTATTTCAAATCATTTATACTAGAAAAGCTGCAAATTTGATCACTTGAACAAAATTCTTGCTGTTTTGTAATGCCTGGAACTAGGGTGTCTTTCTGAGCAGAAAAAAAATGCATTGCTTCAGTATGGTTGCACATTTGCCTCCGATTATGTTCATAAGAACAGGGACGAGAGGAAATGGCCTCAAGTTGCGCCAGGGGAAGTTTAGATTGGATGTAAGGAAAAATTTCTTTACTGAAAGAGTGGTGAAACATTGGAACAGGCTGCCCAGGGAAGTGGTGGAGTCCCCATCCCTGGAGGTATTTAAAAGACGAGTAGATGAGGCACTTAGGGACATGGCTTAGTGGGTGGTGGTGTTGTGTTGATGGTTGGACTCGATGATCTTAGAGGTCTTTTCCAACCTCAATGATTCTATGATTCTATGATTCTAAGAAGCCCAAAGGAATTTAAGAGCATCTCTTTTACTCTGTTCGTGTACAATGCTATCTTGGGCAACCACAACTCTGTGAAAGGCAGACTGCTCTAATACAGAATTAACCAGTAGCCTGTTCAAAGTCCCAAATCTCTTTCCATTCCTTCAAAGCAATTCCTTTCCTCTGACCAAATTGCTTTCTAACAGAACACCACATGCTGATAAGGCAACCCCCACACAGACCCCACAACTCCACTCATGATTTCCAGACTTGTAACCACACCACTTCCCCCAAAACTGCCAATCTTGCTCTCCAGGAGATTGATGAGATCTTGTTAAGCACCGGTAAGTTTCTACACCAGGCAGTGTGTAACAAAACACTGCGACTCAAATTAAGAACCCACTGAGGAGTGTACCAAACCCTTTTAAACCTGAATTCAGAGCAAACAGAACTCAGCATCCTTTGACAGAAGTCACACATCTACAGTGTGTTTCCCAGAGGTTCAGATATCACATTTATCAGGGAAAAAGAGAGAGGAGTAAGCAAGTGCTGTATCTGGGATGGTGGATGTGCCCCTGAAAGCCTGACTGATTAATAATCACAGTGGAGGTCGCAGTGTGCTGTGAACCACACCATGCTCTGCCTTCTTGCACTGATTCCAGTGCCTTTGGAGTGTAAACTGCATATTCATCATCAGCTCCAGGTTTATGAAGCACTCAAAGCTAAAGGGAAATATATTATTTGTCACTGTAAATAAGAACAAAAAAATGAAACTGGAATGCACATTCAGCATATGCTCTTTCACAGCTATCTCTGTGAACAGAATATGAATTAACTCTTTCACTCCTGGTTTCTCATACTGCACCTGTTATGATACTGGTGCCAAGTCATCTCTCATTAAAATCAAATCTTTCTTCCTCACCTACCCAACACTGCTCAAAACCAGTGGGACTTGCACCATTAAGCAAAGTTGAATCTAATACAGTTCCTTCCTGTACTCTGCTGATGCCAGATTCACTCACTGTGCTGCGAGGCTGGCAACAAATGCACAGCAGAAAATGCAAACACATGAGGAAAAACAGTAGCGGCAGGGGGAAAGAGAGAAAACCAACCTATCTGCCTGTGAGCAGCAGCCCCTCAGGGTAGGTGGTACAAACCTCTGCCCACAGCCCAGCACACCAAAGAGGAGTAAGCCAGCATTGAATATAAAAGAGACTATTCTGCAAAGTAAAGGGTTTCAGCTTTGATGCAGAAAATCGAGGCTCAATGCCATTGCCAGGTTTTCCAATCATGAGAAAAACAATACACCATTTCTGTACCACAAGCCTATTACACTATTCTGCATTACTTATTTGTGGCATTCACCTTTAGAAGGACAAAAACCATAACTTTGTCTTATAGCACTCCCATAATAGGCACAATTAACAGAAAAGTCAGTGCAAGTAGCAGTTCTAGCTTGCGACTAACAGTTCAGAGGCCATCGGCAGAAGTACAAAAAAAGTATCTCAGCAGTTAAAGCATTCGTAACCTACAGCAGCTCAAATGAGAAAAAGTTGGAAGTTGATGTTAAGTTTCAAACTAATTATGCAGTATAACACTAGACCTGCAGTTGTGTGCGTTGGCCACTCACAACGGTCGGTCCAAGGACAGACGAGTGGCTGCATAAGCACAAACAAGGTACGAAGCGCTCTGCTCCCAGCAGTCCTGCTACACACACAGAAGCCACACTGTAGCAATAGAGCCCTAGAAATAAAAAATGAAGGGATTGTAGTCCAAGAAACTCGGGGGCTTAGGATGGATGCATCTCATCAGCAAAGCAGTCAAAGAGCTAGATAACAAGGAGAGGCCATGAGATATGCTTGGTATCTGAGCGCATGCATTATCACCTGGGCTCAGAAAGTGTGATGCTGGTTATTTTTTCTGGATTTGCAAAACAGCCCATGATATAGCACTGAGAAGACACTGGAACTAGATAGCATTTGACCCCAGCTCTAAAACATAACTATTAGCCTCTTGCAACCCTGATCCATGTCAAGTAAGTGCATCCAGGAAATAAAATTCAGTCCATTACCGTACTGTTATTACACTAACATAACAGGCTGTGTTAAATAGAACAAATGAGCTCTGAAATGAGGTCTACTTTTACTAGAGGTGATGCAGAGCTCCACAGACAAACTATAGCTATTAACCTGAATGGTTTTCTCTGTGAGACATTTTCCTCTTCTATTTACCTTCCTTTCTGCAGAACCTCTCCCTCGCTGTGATTCTTACAGCCTTCAGTAATGCCACATAAGCCAAAGGTGAACAAAACTGAGAATAGCCGTGCTATAGGAGATGCCTACATTTGAAAATCAATTTTACACAAAAATACAAACTTTATGTGTAACAAAAATTTCCTTCGGTTTCTAACCCCAACATATTGGAAATAAACCCAAGGAATTCTCAGCACTTTCACGCAAAAGAGGACATGAAAGGCTGCCATGTTTGAGTTCATTTTTCAATGTGATTAGAGACAAGGAAAAAGAAAGATAGCTCCTTTTGTGGTTGCAGGGACACCTTCAAAATAAAATAAAAAGATGTCAGCCACATAATTCAAACAGGCGGTGGCTGAGTGTGAGATGACTCTGCCATGACCAGCTCTTCATTAACACCATAACACAATGAATAAATTCATAGGATTTGTTACTTTTGCTCCATAAGATTCCTTTTCCCTGAAGTGCACTCCGTGAGACCATCACCAGTCTGGTATCGTGGACTCAAGAATAGACTGTTTTGGTGATTAGTGACAAAAATAGGTTAAAAATAGCAGGGTTTTTTTCAGGGTGAAACCACATCTGATGCTGCAGAGAAGCTTCACAAACTGCTGTGTCAGCAGAAATCCTTCTCCCTGGCTTCCGTGGCTCATCAGAAGCAAACTGTGAATACACTAATAGGTTGCACAAGCTCTCCTCATCGCTGTTCCACCTCACTGTCAGCCCCCTCCCAACAGCAGATGTGGCCCAACTATTCGGCTGTACTGAAACTGTCATGCGCAGGTGTGTATTTTCAATTTCACTGCAGCAATGTAGCATCCATAAGCTTCTGAGTTTCTACTTTCTTCCTTCTTTGCTTCTGGGCTTGAGATCAGCCACTTTTCCAACAGTTCAGAATAGAGGAGAATCACATGGGAATTACCTTACATTGTATGGCCAGTGCTAAATTGCCTTGCTTTCCTATTTTAAGTGAAGTGTAATCTCATGTAATCTTTATTGTTGAGGAGAAAAAAATGTAAGGAAATAATAGCTTTCATTCTTCCGTTAAGAGCTTACACACAAATAAAATTCTCATCTGTTTCCTAGGAGTAACAGCATTTTTCTCTGTTGCTCCTTTTCTTTGTTTTCTTTACAAACATCAGCTTCTGTGAAGCTGTTCAAAATTCATTCATTCCCGCTTTACATATGTAGAAACTTTGTGTCAGTAAGATCCATTTGTCTTCTGCAAACACATACACCCCGTGAATGCAAGCGTTCATAAAGAGAAGCGTAACCCTGTTTCTCTACTGAATCCTGATGAAATGTTCGAGTCAAAAACCTGATAGAAAATTAGTCCCGCATTCTGTTACTTTTCTTTTTACAACAAATATTTTGTTTGCTGCTTCAGAGAAACCCTAAATGAGTAATAGAAATCACTTCTGACCCCAAGTCTCTTGTACAGAAATAATGCAGCCATTTAAATTATGTTCCGTACTGTGTTGAATCTTACATTATTTATTAGTTGTGTTAGTTTCTACATCCCACGCAATGCAGGTATTTGCAGTTTTATTTAGCCTTTCCTGTGTAAGCTAATGCAGATTTAAAAATGCCCCTCTGGTGGATAAGGTCACTCTGTAAAAGTAACACCGATGTGACCCCCATGTGTTTGCATATATATAAATTCCTTCTATGACATTCCTGTCATGTTTGCTCAGTGAACAAGTAATTTGCCACTCTCATTACTACAGGTACAAGGTAGCTTGTGAAAATCAATCTTCTTTCTGCTTCATACATCACAGCCTGTAACAGACACAAAGTGCATTCTGATTCTGAAATGAAGCTGGGGGAAAAACACAGACCTGTTCTCATAAGCTACTTTCTTTGATCTAGGTGGGCAAGGAAAGAAAGACAATAGGCATGTAGCCTAGCAAAGCACGCAGGTCTTACATAGGAGTCACACAGGAAATCTCTGTATGCAAAGCAAAAGGGGTGGGTTTTGCTGGGGTTTTTTTCAAAAAGTTGTTGTTTACCAGTGTGGATCTTTTAATAGCAGAATAAGTAGCCCTAGAGAGCTTAGCCCCGCTCTTGAGAAATACTCAGAAATAGTTAAAGTATTGTTGGCAGATCAATACAGTAAGGTTGTCACTGTTACTTTCAGCTGAAGTGTAGTGGTGGAAGCAGATTGAAGAATTTCAGGCCTAATGCCGTAAGGAGGGCTTTTCAAAGGCTACTGTGCTAAGACTTAAGACACTGAGGCAAATGAATTCTTCTTCCCAAAAGTACTTAGTCATATGATTGACATGCATGCACATACTTGTCTTTTATTTAAATCAGTGTGACTTAAGCACATACTTAAATTTAAGCACATACTTTCCCCAGCAGAGATGTATGTACACAACATGAGCTCTTGCAAAACGATTAGCGAGTGAGCTTTTATAAGAAAAGACAGTTTCAAGAAAAGAAACTATCTCAAATACCTGAAAAATAAAAAGTTATGGAATATATGAAAATACGCAATAAACCAAAAATCATTTTTCTTTACACACTGCAATTAGTTTCCCAGTAGCAGGAAACTGGAGACAGATGCACATACAGGTGATTACATTTGCCGACAGTATCTCACAGCACTTGGATGTGAAATTTACATATATATTATTGTTTCCAAAATCTGATAAGCATGGATGCTTAAATTGCCAGAGGTATAAAATGCTTTAGCCACCTAGCTGCACGCCACCTCACAGCTAGAAACCCTGAGAGATTATGGGGAAAACTTTTTTCTTCCAAAAGGGTATGTATCGTTGTGATATTGCCTTAAAAACTCAGATGACACTGATGAATGGCCTTCCCTCTAAACTGCTATCAATGTTGATCTCCCCTTCTTCCAGATTAACACCGGTTCTTTGTAGACACAATTGATTGTAATTTTCACCTTCATTAATTTCAGATGCAACACCTAACTGAAAGCAATAAAGAAAGTAAAGAAAGAGTAAACAAGAAATACACTGTCCTCCTAGACAGCTTCAACTCAAACAATACAGATGTATTTAACTGTGTATACATAAAATTTCCTTCTCGGTCATTTCATCAGGACCAGCAAAAGAGCGTTCACCTGATGAATGTTGATGCTGACACATTACTAAGTACACAGAAAGAAAATGTCATGAATTTTTGTGGATTCAGATTCTGTACTTCTATGTATTTATGAAAATAGAAAACTAATAGTAATAA